AGCCTGACGCCTGATCCACCGAGCCCCGTGCAGCCACCGTCTGTGCAGACTGCCCCTTCAGGGTCTCCTGTAAGGAAACGGCCTCCTCCCTCCTGCCAGCTGAAGGCCCATGTGCATGTTACAAAGGCCTCTGCATCCGCTCTGCGTCCACCAGCACAGCACCGGTCAACAGATGTGCTATGGGAGTTCTGCGGTGAGAACCTAATGCCAGGTCCACACGGGCCGGACTTGGATCAGGACCATGATCTGTTGAGGGGTGTGTGTTAACACCCCCCCCGGGTGCCATTTTCCTAACCTGAAATGCCTTCAGGGAACACCACTGTTTGTCCCATGGGGGCACCTGACTTGTACTGGAAGGGAATGTTCTCTCTAAGCTGTAGAGTCCTGTGAGCAAAAATTCTACTTTGTGACCCACTGGCATTAAAGTTGTGAGCGAGCGATTTGGCTTCTGCATAAATTAGTTTGCTCTGGAGCCCTCCTTCCCGAGCCAAGACAAAAATCTGTGAGCTGGAGGCTAAGCAATGGTGAGCCAATTCACACTAACTCAGCTTAGAGGGAACACTGGGCGTAGCAGTTCCAGAGTCAGACCAGGGTCTGGGTGAACCAGGTTTGACTCTTCCCTCCGCTATGGAAGCTTGCCGGACGACCTCGGCCCAGTCACTGTCTCCCAGCCTTGCCTGCCTCAGAAGGCTGTTATTGTGAAGACAACAGAGGAGAGGAGAACATTGTCGTAAAGCTGAGAAAGGCCATAAGGCGAGAAAAGCAGGGTGCAAATAAATAAATAAATAAATAAATAAAATAAAAAAAAAAACAGGATACAAGGGGGAGGCGGAACAGCAGTGTTTAGATACACCAGGGTCCCCCAACCTTTCCCAGCCTGTGGAATTCTGGCAACGGTGCGGTGGGAGCCACCACAAAATGGCTGAATGTGAAGCCAGCTATAAAATGGCTGCCACCGCTTGCCTTCAGCCCCATAGTGAAGATACCTGTGCCGTAGTCACAGCAGCTGCTGCCGGAGCAACCTTTAAAAAAATCTCCACAGCCAGTCAAATCTCCAGTGACCAATCAGAAGCCTTGCTGGGTAAAAACCATGGCAGATAGCAGGGCACCATGCTAGGGACCCCTGGGACCCATACGTGGCCAGAAGAGTGCCCGGCTGCTTTCTACCCCTCCTCTGACGGCTGAGGCCTGGGCAGCGGGGGGCTGTGGGATGGGGGGACACTCAGCTGGAGCCAGATCCAGGCACAGTGGAAAGTCTGAAACCTCTTATAGCCGTTATCTGCTGAACGTCTGCCTGCCACAAAGCTGCTGAAAGCACAGGAGCTTCTGGCAGAGACGCAGCAGCTGGGCAGCTTTTAGGTGCCCAGGCCCAATCCTTAATCCTGAATGGGCAGGGTTGGCCTCAATTTTGCAGGTAACAAAATCGGAGGCAGCCTATTATTGCAAATGTCATAGAGGTGAATCCTGGCTCAAAACCCTGCTCTCTTTCAACTAGAAGGGCAGCAGAGTGGGAACCAAAACAATAATTTATGTTCCCCCTCCCCAAAACAGAACCTCAAAGTTATTCTTCAGCCATGCGGGCCATCTTTCCGGTGTGAATGAACTAGCCATGCAAACTACAACAGATGGACCTCTTTCATTTTCATGTCCACTAATTACGGGTTCTGCATGCACTTAATTGCCATGTTGCATCTGAGTAGAACCAAAATAACCACAGGTGAGCATGGGAATTTATTTGGAAGCTGGGGGGTGGGTGGGGCGGGGCGGCAGAATCCAGCTCTGGGTCGTGTTTCACTCTGTCTGGAGTGCACTTAGGTTGACTTGCAGCACTATCCTCAGCAGTGTTACACCTTTCTACATGCACTGTAACCAATCAGCTCAGAAGGGTGCAAATCTGTTGAGGATTGCATGGTTCGCTGCCTCTCTCATGCCAGGCATTAACACGTTAGGCACAAATCCACCCCCCCCCCCGATGAACAGAAACCAAGCAAGACAAGTGGCTAAGAAGCAACCCCAAGGCACTAGAGGAGCATCTCTCTTGACCTGTGGCACTCTCCGCAAATTCGGCCTCTTCGATTACTGTATCTCATGTGTGTTCCAAACTCCTGTTTGTTGCAGTCAGACTTCATAGTTTTGGATGCAGACTTAATTTTTTTAAAAAAAAATATTGCAGGTAACCCGAGAGCCAGTTTGGCATCCTGGTTAGAGTTCTGAGACTAGGATCTGAGAGACCCGGGTTCAAATCCCTACAGAAGTTTGCTGGGGGACCTTGGGCCAGCCCTAACCTACCTCACAGGGTGGTTGTGAGGACAGAATGGAGATGAGAGCAATGTAAGCCGCTGTCGGTCCCACTGGGGAGAAAGCTCAGGCTTAAATGAAGTACGTTTTTTTTAAAGTCTGTAAAAATTAATGTCCGTGTGGGTTCTGAAGATGGAATCAAAAAACTATAGCATGGAAAGGGGAGCCGGGCATGATTCTTCTCTGCTCTCCCAACTTAATTCATTCAGTCATTCGTTCCTTCAGTCTCTTCCTCCTCTTTGCTAAATACGAGGCCTCTGCTTAGAAATCTGTGTGGATACACTCAAAGAGCACTTTGGAGCACTGCCTACCCTTAGCACAACACCACTGCAGAAGGAAGATAAATAAAATAATGTGATAAACCTGAACATTAAAAACGAATGTTTCAGACTATTGTCGAGCCTGTAACGTCTTAATCCGTATTAAAACAACACATATGATTCATCCTTACATCTTTCTTGATTGTCATACAACCTTCTAGGTTCTCTAAAGACCTAAATCTGTTCATCTCACAACTCCACAGAAGTTAGCGGAGTTCTAACCTAGACATGGTTTGGTGGCGTCTGCCCTGTTTGCCACAGCAGGTGAAACAGGTTATGTGCAATTCTGCCTCTTATGACCCATTCCCTTCTTGACCCTGCCAGCCTCCGGGTCTCCTGCTTTTACAGCTGATCTCCATATGACACAGCTCAGCTCCCCTGGAGAAAATGGCTGCTTTGGAGGGCGGGCCTTGTACTGTGCTGAGGCCCCTCCCCTTCCCTCTTGGGCTCCACCCCTGAAATCTCCAGGTATTCCCCAGCCCCGGCCAGGCATATCCCAGGCGCCTGGTGGTCTGGGTCCCCAAAGCAACAGAATGGACACCCTGGGGGCCAAATGAGATGTTATGCCTACCACAGGTCAGGTTTGGGGTTCCCCTATCAGGAGCAGGCTTCCCTCTAAGCTGAGTTAGTGTGAGCTAGCTCACAGTTTTTTAGCCTCCAGCTCACGCATTTTTGTCTTCGCTCGGGAAGGATGTGGCTCCAGAGCAAACTAATTGATGCAGTAGCCAAATCACTTGCTCACCACTTTAATGCCAGGAGCTCACAAAGTAGAATTTTTGCTCAAAAGACTCCACAGCTTAGAGGGAGCATTGATCAGGAGTACGGACAGATGTGATATCAGGGAACTAATTAGCTCACAACATGTGGCTGTTTCAGCTCAGGAAGACAGTGGCTGGCGGGCGGGGGGGGAGGCTGAAGGTTCCCCCCAAGCTATGCTCCTCAGCTGAAGCAGCCCTGGAGTATTTGGGAATGTCAGCTCCGCAGGATCACATCTGTCTGCAAAATGAGTTCGGAAACGCCAACCAAACTGGGGGCAGCCTGCACATCTCCTCTGGCCCTTAGTGACCCTTGCTAAAGTTCAGCATGTTGGGACCCGCTCAGTGCCTGGACTGAACATCTCTTAGGAAGCTCCTCAATGCCACCTTGAATTCCACAATGGAAGGAAGGCGGGGACTGAAACACAACAAAGAAGTGGCACCTACTAGAATCTCTGAAAAAAGAATTTAATCCCATGTCAGCAGATGCTCCTGGGGTCGTAACACAGGATGGTATGGCTTTTCTCTCTTGTTTGGGACAAACGTTTCTAGAAATCTACAATCTGGCAAAAAAAAATTAGAAGTCTCAGTGTCTAGTAAATCTTCCCATTACAAAAGTTTACCTAACCATTTCATATAGTATTAGAAATATTTCCTAGTCGAAAGAGGGAAAGAAAAACGAGATTGGTATCTCATATTCCCAGATATCGGTTTCTTTCTTTATTTTTTGACAAGCACTACTCACTCAGTGGTGTTACTTATTCAAAGAATTTCCTAATATTTTAGCCCCTCCTCAACATCCTGCAATGAGCTCCGTCCACAACAAGCGGGATCATTTTAGGTCTGTAGCTTTCCAACCCTGATGTTAAGCCTGCATCGTGAATGCAACTGCATCCCTAGCTACCTTTTAAGTTAATGTCTGAAGCCACTGAACTTCGCTCTGTCTATTCCTCAGCTGTTTTGTACCCATTTGGGAGAAAGGGGCTGTTCTTCAGAATATCCTGCTCTTGATGACCCCATGCTCTTGATGACCCCCCATGCATATTTTAAAAACTCCCTCCCCGACACATTCAGCCTCTGTGGCCATCTGCTCCTGGAGCGGATGGTCTCAACCCTTGAAAAAAGCTGCACGCCTTTGTTACAGTCAAAACACAGACTTCAGCGCCAAAGCTGCCATTTTGCCATTGAAATCGAGAGTACAAAATGTGTCAGGTCTCCAAGCTGGAAATGTATGTCAGTAAGTGAACTGGAAAACTCACAAAGCTGTAATCTCAAGGCACGAAAACTTGCCGGGGGGGGGGGGGGGAGAGTGCATCAATTTTCCGATTCCCCTGGCTGAATGTTGCACAGCTGTGGTTCATCATTGTGACTACAAATGACATTTACTACATTCACGTCACAACCTTCTAGGGATGCCTCTGAAATTCTCCACATCTGCATTTCTCCCTAGTTCCAAATTATTCTGTTTAAAGTAAAACCGATGGATTAAAAATCCTCCTTTAAAAAAATCCCAAATTTTGCATATAGCACTATATACATACATAGCTCCTTTGCATTGTATTCTCTCCTCTACATTACCCACATATTGATAAAGCATTGCAAAAAAGCAGTCTTGGGATTGGTTGCAAAGGTTAGAGTTACATTCTTTTAGAGTGGTGTTCTACACACCACCAACAGTGCATATGTGCATCAGTAGACTACCCCCCCCACACACACACAAAACGCCTTGATGCAATCATACAAGATTGCTTTTCTTTTGCATGGTTTTCTTAGAACACATTTGCACACGGGCAACACAGAAGGGGGATAAAGATGCCAAGGAAAGGAAGAAGCAAAACACTGCGGAGGGCACGGATACTCCAGCACAACTGAAAGAAGCATGATTGAATCTGGGAGGCCTGGGCACTTTCCCAAAACTGACCCCTGATTTCCAAAAAACTGCCCCCCCCCACAACCTCTTTGGAAAAGCTACCTCAAACCAACAGTGTATTCCCCCGCTCCATTCTGTGGTTACTCAGCGTCTTTTTCATGGTGGGGGCTGGCTCCATTTTCTTTGCACTGATCCACTTGGGGTCTCGATTTCCCCAAAGTCCTACGTGTGGGCCCTGCCAGATCTTGGGAAGGCTGTCGCGATGACCTTTGGTGACCTTTCCGCTGGTTTCTGGGCGGGCGGGCTGGAAGACCTTGAGAGGCGAGGGGCTCGCTCTGGTCAGCTCCTGCCTTGGTGGAGGAGATGGCCTTGGGCTCCAATTTCTGACCGTGGGCCGGAGTGGGGTGCCATTTGGTGTACAGAAATAGGGCCGGGTCAGGCATGGGCTCAGTGTCTTCAAAACTGCTGAGTCGGTCGCAAAAGGAAGGGTCCCTGAAGGCCCCCTTGCTGTGGAAGGAGCCAGCGGCCTGCCTGCGGGACGGGGACTTCTGGGTCCGTTTTTTGGGCCTTGCCTCGCTGGCAGGCGGGTGGAGGAAGGATTTCTCCGGAGGCCGGTCAGCGAGAGGCTTGGCACTCGGCCGGGAACCGTGAAGCTTCTGCTTGGTGGCATGCAGCTGGAAGGAGAGGTAAGCGGCCGCCTCCGTCTGCTTCTGCAGCTCCGTGTTGAGGATGGTCACGCGGTGACTCCTCCTCTTCAGTTCCTCCAGGAACTTCCTCTCTCTGCTCCTCAGGCTGGACCGCAGAGCGGCCACCAAGCTCTCCTTGTGCCGGAGCTCCTTCCGCAGCTCGAGGTGGCCCTTCTCTTTCTCCTGCAGCTGGGCCTCCATCGCCTTGCACTTCTCCTCCAGTTCCTGGTCGACAATTTCTAAATATGAAAGGACAGGACAAGGGTTACTGAACTCCCCACACCTGCTGGGAAGAGGGACATTTCCTTCCAAACAGTGTGTTTGTGACACTCACAAAGTGACATTACATTTTGGCTACCTGTTCCCCTTGTTGTGGGAGGCGCTGTCAGTTTCAAGGAACATTTCCTTCATTTTACCGTCACAACAACCCTGCGAGGTAGTTTGGGCTGAGAGCGTGTGACTGGCCCATGGACAGCCAGCGAGTTTCCATGGCATGAGCGGGGATCTGAACCTGGGTCTCCTAGAACCCCGTTCAGCACTCTCTGACCATGACCCTAACCCTGTTTCCTCAGCCCCAGTCGTAACTTTGTAAACTATCTGGTCTCTCCCCCCACACTCGTCCTCTTTGGTGTAGAGCCCGTTTGGTGCAGTGGTTAAGTGTGTGGACTCTAATCTGGGAGAACCGGGTTTGATTCCCCACTCCTCCACTCGCAGCTGCTGGATGACCTTGGGCAAGCCATAGTTCTGACAAGAGCTGTCCTTGAATAAGAGCAGTTTCTGTCGGAGCTCTCTCAGCCCCACCTGCCTCACAGGGTGTCTGTTGTGGGGAGGGGAAGGGGAAGGAGTTTGTAAGCCGCTCTGAGACACCTTTGGGTATAAATCCCATCTCTTCTCTCTTCTTCTACAGAAAGAGCCTTAAATACTGTAGCCTTCCTCCAGAGAGAGGGCGCTCCAGTGGTCTGATCATCTTGTCTCCTGTTTCCTTTCCACCTCTGCACTGTGGCTGGGGAACGGACAGAGACCACAGCGATGCGGCTGTGCCGGAGATTGATGGGGAGGTATTGTGACACGGGCTGTGCTGCCGTCAAGCCTTTCCTAGCGACCCCTGGTGCGAACCAAGAGTCGCCTTCTTTGCACTGCGAGGGTTGCCAGGCCCGGCCTGCCTTCCACCCAGTGGGGGGCTTCTGGGTCCTTTCCAGGATCTTCTGGGTACAGTGACCTCACCTGGAAGTGACATCATCATGTCGGGGTGTGTGTGTGACACTCTAGTTCTTCAACAAAACCCTATTTTTTTTTGCTTTCAAAACCATAGAGTCTGCCCAAAAACTAGAGCGTCACCCCTGACGTGATGACGTCACTTCCAGGTGACGCCATCGCATCTGGGTGTTTGCCTGGCCATGTCCCTGTTTGGAGGTGGGGGATCAGAGCCCCCGAAAGTGGGGGGATCCACACTGGGAACTGGAGGCGGGAAGCCCTGCTTATCACTAGAATTACATCAGTCCAGCACGAGATTAGAGCAAACAAGAAGCGGGACCCACGATACTTGCAGGGGGGGGGCATGCCCCACGGCCTGCAAAGCAGGAGGAGGTCCTCACTGAGGAGGAGGCAGCCGTAGGTGAGCCCAGCAGCAACGGCAGCAAGCCCTGCCCGGGTCCCAGCCGCCCGCCCGCCCGCCCAGTCCACCCCCGCCCAGCGGCAATAGCGGCAAGTCCTGCGTGGCTCCCAGCCGCCCACCCACTGTGGCTTCTCCCCCTCCCCCCGCACAGCAACAGCAGCGAGCCCTGCTCGGATCCCAGCTGCCCGCCTGCCAAGGCTCCCCTGGCTCCCTCACAGCTGCCAGCAGCAAGCTCCGCCACAGTTCTCCACGCATGCGCAAGAACGCAGTTTCAGTTTTGGAGGGATTTAAGTATCCCCATATATTTTTTTAACATTTCAGATTTTTCTGCATACTTAAGTAATGCCTCAACTGTGCAGGAATTTCTATTGAGCCTCCATGTGCCCCCAATTTGCAGAAATAAGTATCTGCATGCACTGGGGACACTCGGCTATTAGTACATAGATTTTGTTTTGTTGTACACCGCCCTGAGCCCTGTCTCACAGGGGAAGAAGAAGAAGAAGAAGAAGAAGAAGAAGAAGAAGAAGAAGAGGAGGAGGAGGAGGAGGAGGAGGGAAGG